CACTTTTTTTACAAATACTTTCCTGGTTTTTGTGTGTTTTTTAAAGGAAACATAAACTTGAAGAGGTTTTGTTTGACCTTCGTATGGGCACAGTCATGGAAATCGCAGTGGAGTGCTGCTTAAAGCTGTTCATTACTGTATATATTTATCATTGTGTGCTGAAAACCAATGATTTCAGCAGGGTTGAGCTTGTGGTGACAGGAGAAGGAGAAGAAGGTTTACAATCAAATKACAACACAACCCTTTACTAAAGCTAGTTAAAGTTTGAATTTCCCTACGGGGATTAATAAAGTATTTCTGATTCTGATTGTGAACTTGCTTCAAACTTCATTAGACGTGTTAAATAAACGGTAAATTACCACAATAACATTAAAAACCACTTGAGGCTTGTAAGTATATGTTGTACGATTATGATAATAGATAAATCAATAGGTGTTGTTGTTGTATAGTTTCAAGGTAACTTACCTTTGTTCGGTTCGTTGTTATGACCATCCCGGAGCAACAACACCGCAGCGCTAGCCGGTTAACAGTAGTGGGTAGCATGTAGCCTAGCAACAACTTTACTCATCATTAACTATAAAATATTTATCTTGCACATCTAAAAAAATATATACATATATTTCAAAATATTTTTATTTTATCATTTCATTTTTATTTAAATGTTTTATGTCTTATTCATTGTAATGCGGTGAGTGGTGGGGCGGCGCCCTCTATTGGCCAGCTGCCACTGGTCAGTCATTACCTTTGCTCCCAGAACCGACGGTCAGCACAAAGGGAATGAGCAGGTTGAGCAGCATCCCCTCCCTCCTCTCCTGATTGGTGAACGGTGAGATCACGTGACTGAGAGGGAAGTCGTCCTTCAAGGCCTGAGATTGAAAAACAAACGCTGAGTGAATATTTTCCGTGGGGAAATATCAACGAGGATTTTACTTGATGAAGAGGAGGTCGACCTGAATCTGCAGGGCAACCAGCCGGACGACCGCCGTGCTGAAAGGAAGTGGCGGGGAGAGGTAGGGGCTGAGGTGGAGCAGCGGCAGCCCGTCCGCCACACTGGAGGGGCCGACCACACCCATCACCTGACAACACACAAAGAAATACTTCAAAAAACAACACAAAACAGGAGACGTAGCAGATTAATGTGTGTGTCTTCGTACCAGGTTTACACAGACGTTGATCAGCGAGCGAAGGTGCGGGAGAAAAGAGATGATAGGCTGTCGCTGCAGCGTGAGGCAGATCCCCTCGATCAGGCTGCTGGCCGCCTCCCACTCCACCTGTCTCCTGGAGAACAGACAACCACACAACACCACCACACAACCAAATAAAAACACATGGTCATAAAAATAGAGACGCACACACACATCCAGGTCATGTGGGATGAAAGGGAAAGAAGATGTTGGCATGGAAACACCAGTCATCTTAGCTCAGTCTCATCAAATGACATGGACGTGGCGTCGGATCAATAATAAATCGGAAAAATCTTTAAAGTGACACAATCATCACTTGGCTGAACTCACAGTGAATAGTGAAAGCTCACATACACAGGCAGCTACACACTGCAGAAACACACACTCGCAAGAATCCGCACAGAAACACGCTACAGCAGCACTTACGGTACATCACCCACGAAGGCAGCACTACAGAGGACAGTGCCAAGAAGCCGTCTATTTACTGTACACACCACGGCACCGGCACAGCACGACACACTCACAGGGAGACGGAGAAGAAGAGGGATCGTATTCAACAGACCTGGTGCATAATGCCTGTGGGCGAGCGCACCTGAGCGTTGGCATCTTGTGGATCTTGTTGAACATGCGGTCCAGCCTCTTGAGGATGAGGATGAGGGCGGGGCGGACGGCCTCTGACGACCAGTCGGTGATGGGCAGCATCTCCATGATGTAGCGCCGCAGCCCGCGGCTCTCCATGGTCAGGGTGTCGTAGGGCGCCAGCTTCAGCAGCGCATGGGCTATCTCTGCCAGCCTGGGAAAGAAACGGACAGAGTGTCAGGCAGTTTTCTTTTTCTCTCTGCCAAATGTGCTGCCGCAGAAAACTGACAACTTTAATCAGCTGATGGAGGACACTCATGTTAAATCTCGTCACCTCATGTGGGACTTGATGTCAAGCAGCTCCAGGGCCGTGACCCGAGGCTCTCCGGCCACATTCTGCAGGATCTTGAGTCGCGGTCCGCAGTGTTTGTAAAACTCGGTGCAGATGTTTAAGAGCGACTCCCGCGGCCGGCGGAACTCCTCCCTTGCGATTCGCTCATCCAGCTCCTCCCTCGGCATCCCCTGGCCCTCCTCCAGAAGGTGGAGGTTGTCCCTGGTGTTGACCCCTCCGGACATGGCATGGTTCGCCGTGGTGCCTCCTTTATGGCCCTGATCACAGCGGGACAGCTGTGGTGCTGTCATGGGCCTGTGGAGGAGGTGTGGATAAAATTATAAGCATCTCAACCACCTGTAGCTACAACGAGTAAAAACTCAGATGTGTCCGACCTTGTTAGAGCCTCTGAGCTGTAGAGGAGGGCCTGCAGTGACGTGGCCAGAGCAGCGATGGCGGCAATCTCGTCCCTGGCAGCTGAAGCAGATTCCATCGTGATGGTGTTGCTCTTCAGCTTCTGGAGGTGACAGGGAACCAAGGCCTCCAGCACCATCAGCATCTGGAGACTGGACACAAATAAACTGTTGTGGGACAGACGTGGGTGCAGTAGAGGAAAAGATGGAGATGAAGTGTGTCTCCTTACCTCCGGAAGGATTCAGGGGCGTAGGCGACCACAGTCACACACAGCTTGATGGCCTCGCTGATAGAAAAGGCCAAGTCCTCGTTACCATAACAGAAATCTGAAACCAAAAAATAGATCATATTTAGAGCATCCCGTGCCTGATGATGGTTTAATTAGAGTGTTTGACAGTTTACCCAGAGAGCGCAGAGGTTTCTCTGCCTTCACCAGCTCCAGAGCGTCCAGGGCGTCCGGCGTCTCACCCTCCAGAGACACCAACAGGTCGAACAGACACTGGGCTGAGACTCCTTTAGACAGACCAGTGCTGGTGCTGGTCTGGAGGTGAGGGAACAAGGATGGAGACAAGTTTATTAAAAGCTATTTGGAGTCATCCAGGAATCCTCCTAAACAAACTCAACAGTCTTACTGTGAATTCCAGCAGCGGAGCGACGCTTGCAAACAGCTGCAGGACGAAGGGTTTGCGGTGCAGGATGTAAAACTGTCGGCAGCAGAACTCGATGCCCTGCCTCAGTAAAGGGTCGCTCTCATAGTCAGCATAGACCTGGAAAAACGACGTTTAGGGGATGTCCATCAGTGTGTTATCTGAGTTAAATGTGTTCAGAGGCAGTTTAATGAGACAGAACCACCACGATATCTACAGGATCCATGTTTCTGTACCTGCAGCATGGTCGGCAGGATCCACTGGTAACCGCTCAGAGAGAAGAGATGGTTGAAGTGCACGGCGGTGTTGATGGCAGTAGCTGTGTACTGCCTGAGGAGGGAGCTGTCCTCCGGGTGCAGCAGCAGAGCCCCGTTGAAGACGTTGAGGAACAGCATCATCTCGTCCCCCCACGGGTACTCGCTGGGCATCCCCAGAAACATTTCCTCCAGCAGCTTGATCCACAGCACCTTGTGGAGGGTGTCCAAACCAAACAGCTCCTTACCTGAGAGAGGAGGAGACGACAGGGGATCAAAATATAACACTTATAAGTGCAACGCTTTTATTTCAGTGTTGGTCGGAGTCCGTCTCACCTTGTTGCTCGTTGAACAATGAGAACTCTGCGTCGATGGCCGTTCGTGGGAAGGAGGGCAGACGGAGGAGGTCTTCCTGCAGCAGGGAGACGTGGGATTGTTTGTGCACGGCCGGCATGTGTTGAGTGAGGGAGATTAGGAAGAGGACCCGGCCAACCTCCTCCAGTTTACGGGAAAACACCTGAACAAGATGAGAAATAAAGTTCTGTTTAACTTCACTTTCACAAAGTGTTAGAAATAAAGTTTGAATCGTCCATACCTGTTTCTGGATGAGCTCTTGTCCTTTCTCAGGCAGCATGTGGACCAGGTTGAGCTGTGGAGAGACCGACCTCCGGAACGGGTAGATGTCCCTGACATATGTCTACAGGACGGGGATAAAAACATCACATATAAATGAAGAAGTCAAAAAATATGAATTAAAGCTCTGCCGTTGTAATCCACAGCCATGCAGTGTGAAGTTTCCTCAAGGCGTTCTTCAGATATTGGGTTCACAAGAATAAAACTGATGGACGGAGAACCTGAAAACATAAACCCTACGGCCACTGGCTTTAAAGACAACCTCAAAACAAAGACTTACATCAAGATAGTTGTGACTTTACTTTATCTCACTAAAACTATACCAGGTTAATTAATGGCTCATTTATAATTAAGTCCTAAATTAAAGTCAGTCTCCACGGCTCTGCCATGAAACACATATTCATCTCCAAAATGTCAACTTGTCATGAAATAGCAAAACCAGCCTGTTTCTCAGCTAATAATAAATAAAATCCTTCGAACCAGAGGCTAAAATGAAAGTGTTTGTCACCTTGGAGTAATGTATGAGGTTCCATCGTTTGTCCATGAGGAAGTAATGCGCTGATCTTGCCTCGGGAATGTTGAAAAATTCAAGACACTCCTGTTTGGAGAAAGAGGACAAGCCACAAACTTCAGTATTTCACTGAAGTGCACCGGCATTAGTATTTCAAATATGTAAAAACAAGCTTTTACCTTCAGCAGAGCTTCGAACTGAGTGTCCTCGTGCACTGGGAGCTGTGTTGGGATGTCACACTCGTTCTGTCCGTGCACCACCAGGGTTTTGGTTCCTGTGTTGACAAACACAAGAAAAGGTTTCAGGAACATTGACATCTGAGGGGATTGTATTTATTTTAACACCTTAAATATCTGATGTAATGTTTTAAAAAGGCCTCTGTGTGGTTGATGTAGTATCACGATGTTCAGTTTTAGGTATTGTTCACCTGGCATGGAAGCAGTGACCAACAGTTTGACCTCGCACTGCTCCTTCTTCATGGTCTGCTTCAGGTCCTTGAAGAAGAGCCCCTCTACGTAGCCGACCACCTCCCACAGGAAGGTCAGCGTGGCAGAGATTGCGTCCATACCCCACTCGCAGGGAGTCCGCACAAAGTACATGATGAGTCCCACCTACAAGGAGGAGGAGGAGATTCACGTGAAATAGGTGATAATGACTTTAAATGATCCTGAAGTTGTTTTTGTTGATTTACCAGGTAGTTGAAGAGGATGTGAGACGTCTGAGCCGGCAGATCTCCGATGTTGAGCAGGAGCTTCCTCAGCATGTACATCAGCTCGTCCTGAAAACACAAGAAACACAAAGTGATGCTCGCTTTAATCCCACGATCCCCCATCGAGCCGGAGTGGACTTTCTCACCCGAGGTTTCCTCACCTGTCTGTTGCTCACTGTTAGTTTTTCCAGGAAGTGGCGGAGAACCAGGGCCGGATCCTCGATCAGACAGTTCCAGAGGATTTGCTGAGCCACAGCGCTCACTGCAGAAACATGAAACATGATCACTTGTAACCAAAGCGTGTGACAAAATACAACGAACAGGTCTCATATGTGGCGAGAAAATGACGCCCACCGGCCACTCCGTCCTCTCGAACCTCCCCGTCCTCCATGAGGTGGACTATTGGGAGAACGGCAGCACAGATGCATGCTGGGAAGACAGCCTGAGGTGGCTGCAGCATGTGGTGGGTAGGAGTGTGTTCTGCTGTGTTTTCTTCATCTGGCAAAAACAAATCAGTGGAAATTAAAGAAAAAAAAAAACGAGGAAACAAAGCGGCTTTATGAAAACTCATCATCAGTGATTCTGGGTTTTCGTACCTTCAGCACTCGCCAGTGAGCGGACGGACCACACGGAGCCCCGACGGAAAGAGTAGTTCCTG